TAGCATGTACAACCGTTTGCACTGATGATGGATTGTTTAATCCGAAAACGTTTTGCAATGTGTTTGTGATAGCCCGTTTGGGGCATTTTTATATACCTTTTATAAAGGATTTTAAACAAAATTTTTTTGTGATATATGGTATACAGCCAGCTACAGGAACTTAGTTTCCTCGTGGAATTTTAAGTGTATTGACTGTTAATATACTAGTTTGACAAATAGTTGACATTTTAAAAATTCCTCACTTACTAACTATTCTGATGTTTTGGCAACGCTGTGGGGTTCTGACGACGTAAATCTTGAATGACGTGCAAGCTTTTTTATATAAAAAATGCTATAGATGATTTGCAAAAGTATATTATGCTTTATCTATGTCAGTTTTAGCCCAAGTGTCATTTCGTTTCCTGATTGGCACATTTCTTTCACTGCTTCACTGCCACGTCTTTTGCAGTTTTCTTTTTTCCAATATGGGTGAATTTATGTGAGCAGGATAGGACTCTTACTTGCAGCTTGCTGAATAACTGAAGTTAGGTGAGCAACTGCATTTTCTATATTGCTATCACTTTTAAGAGGCAAGTTTAGGTTAATGGTTGTTTTTATTTTTTCTCTATATCTGTTCCAGATTGTTCTTTTATTAGAAAGTGTTAGATATTTAGGATAGTTATGAATTTGATTATGTAGATCTATGAAGAAAGCGGAATGATCTGATGAGAGGTCAAATGAAGGATAAATTTGGAGATCGGTATGTGATATTGCTTTTACTACAGCGAAATCAATAAGATCTTTCTATCGGCGGGCCAAGACGTAGGCTCTCCATTAGAGAAAGGAATTAAATGATTCTCATTAATACTTTTTAATAATTCTCGTCCACGTGAGGTTACGATTCTGGAACTCCATTTATGATGTTTGGCACTATAATCTCCATCAGTAATGAAACGGTATCCGAGCATCTAAAGTATTCAGTAAAATGATCAGCTTTAATTATTTTATTCGGTGGACAGTAAACAGCAGATAGAATAATCGGGCCTTGTGTATCTTCGACCGACACTGATGTCGCTTGGATGTTAAGTTTACTAATTATATTTATTTCATGATCTTCTTCTGCTTCTTAGCCTTCTGTCGTCCATGTTTGGACATAGGCCTTTCCCAACATCCATCGGTCTCTATCCTGAGCAATATAGTTCCAATGTGTTCCAACTATTCTTTTTATGTCATCAACCCGTCTCATCTGTGGTCTTCCTCTTGGTCCTCTATGTCCTCGACTTTTGTTTTGGATCTTACCCAGTCGTTCCTCTTTTTATCTGATAGTCGTATACCTAACATTGCTCTTTCCATTGTTCTTTCTGTTGTGGCTAGTTTATTCGTGTTTGCCTTGGTTAGGGTCCAGGTTTGACATCCATATGTCATGATAGGAAGGATGCATTGGTTGAACTTATTTCATGATGCTTAATGTGATGACCATCACGTTCGATGGTTGTTAGAATCTCTGGACGAGTAGGAAGAAAAACTTACCCGCCTCTTAGATATTCGGGACCTACGCTATTCTAAAAATTAAGGCTTCCAGGAAACTGGAAGGGTGTGTAGCCTTAAAGGAGTTCGAAAAATCCGACCGGTTAGTAACTACACAGGCGCGCGGAATCAGGGATCCTAAAAGGATCAGCAATCACTACTTGCCAATCGGAGTACGTGCTCTAAAAAGTGCTCGTATTTCCGATTAAACGAGTATGGATTCCCGGCTCTACCGCGAGAAGGTCTGTACTAGGACGATTTTTGTGGAAAGGATGAAACACGACGTTCGCCCAAACGCAAATAAAACTGAAGAAGCCGCTTGAGGAGGTTTGGATAACTCTCTCTCACACTCTTCAGTCAATTACGTCTGGCAAACGACGGGCCAAGCAAAACCACAATTGCAGGGCCATCATTATTTCATGATGCTTAATGTTATTTCTTATAATAATTGCCGTACCTCCGTGGGCTTTACCTAATGGATATTGAGTTACATAGGTTGAATATTTGGGAATCTAGAAATGGCTCTTATTAGTGATGTGTACTTCGGAAATAAACATGACATCTAGATTATGAGAGTAAATAAATGCTTTAACTTCGTGGAAATGAATGGTTAAGCCATTGGCATTCCAACAGCACATCTTTAGTTTAGTGTTGAAGATTAAGCTTAGATATCAGAGACATTAGGAGATCAAACATCTTATCCATTTTTTCCATTAACTTATGTACTAGTAGTTCTAGATTATTTTGTATATGTTGAGGAGTTGTTTTTTCTATTGCATGAGAAGTCTCATTTATGGTAGATGTATTTCTATTATATCTTCCTTCAACTATTTTCGCATAGCTGATGGTTGGTTGAGTGATTGAAGTGATTTCTTGCAGTGTTGGAATTTTTTTTTCTGCAGCTCTATGTACACTGAACATCCCTTATAGCTGGCAGAATGATTTTCTAGATAATTTACACATTGAACATCTTTTTTTATTTATTTATTAACGCTTTAGATAAGATGTAACTAAAAAAACAAAGGCAGCTTTAATTTTATTGTCATGTAAGTAATAACATACAATTATTATATACACACATTTTTTTCTTGTATACAGGGTGAATCACCACTAACGAAACGGAAGATTACAGCGAAAGAGTAAAAAAATTTAAATTATAAGTTTGCAAGTAGATACAAACTACATTTTAAAATTATTTGGAAATATACAGGGTGTTCCAATAAATTTTGGCGTATCAAAGGTATATTTGATCTTCTTATTCTTCTTCCTCTTTATAAGCAATCATGCTTGTTCATTGGCGGATTGATACTTCTTTGGAAGGTTGTCACTCCATCTTTCGCGCAGTCGGCCGATACTCCTTTTATTGTTTAATGATCTATCTCTTGCTATTTTAACCCTCTTTCCGGCTCGAGGAGATAAGAATACGGCCGAGGCCAGAAGACCCTGCCTGCCGTAAGAGGTGAATAATGGGCGGATATGAGAGGTGGAAGGTCGTCGTTTGAGGTGTCGGGTTGGTAGAAACGCACAGAGATGCTTAGTCATCTGTCACCGGTCTACATTCCTAGTATCCTAGACGAGCGCCTCGTGGGACCACTCTACTCTCATTTTCCACAAGAGCCAGGTGAGGTTGAACGAGCCGGGTACGTATGCACCTCTTGAAGCCGACACCGCGGAAGGGGGTGTGGTTAGACTCGGCACGTACCCACCTCGGAATGATCTAAGAGTGGTAAACAGGGGGGTTAACTTGAATAGTCTTTTCAACGACAACGTTTTTAGTAATATTTTCTAGCACAGATGTCACTCCAGGTAATGATTGATGGTGACCTGTAATTTTTAAAAAACACAAACAGTGTCATCTGTCATCCGCATGTCATCCAACGGATTGTTGAATATTCAAATCTCGTTTTTATTGTGATAAATGTGATTCTTGTCTTATAATCTGTGTTGTGATCCAAATCCAAAGACGATATAATATGTGTCATCCTATGCAAATATAAATGTATGTATAATTCTTCTTCAATAACCTATGTATATTCTTTTCAATAATGATATTGTGTATGTTAATAATGAGTTAGATAAATTTTGATATTTTCACGTTTGTATTACTATAGTTAAAATTGTTATTTTTCTTTGGACATTGTTATTTGTATTTTATGTTTTTATATCTCCACCACCACCATAAATAAAACACTTGTACTATATAGAACATTTTTATTTTTTTCCTAGCTTGAGTGAGATTCAACCTTATTCTATCTTTCTTCTGTCATATGAACTATGAACTTCACATTTGCCAAATAGAATTTTTATGATTTATTTACTCATTGTTAAAATTATGTTATGCAAATGTGTCAAATGAATTACAGCAATAATGGTTTGTTTTATAACCGTTAAATTTTAATTCCTATAATTTAATAGGACTTGTTCAAGATGGTGGTAAAAATAAAATTCTTTGCATCCGAACGTTTCGGTTTATTTCATTTCTAAACAATTTTTAACGAATTTAACTTCAAACACGACCAACACACTTGTATTGTTAAAAATGTGATATATTGAAACGTTCAGACGGATATATTTTTATTTTTACAATTTATCTTGACAGTGTCCCTTGAAATTATAGAGAATTCCTACAATAATTTTGAATTTCCCGCTTCTCATTAACAGATTTCTGTCTTCTTTTTTTGGCCTTCGTTAAGGTAAGTTACAAAGTTATTAGTATTTAGTGTAGAATTCTACCGTAGAGGGCGCTGTAAATCGTATCGACAATTTTTAACATTAAGGTTGGCGATCTTCTTGTCTTATAATCTGTGGTGGTAAAGGAGCGATTACTCGGCGGCGACCTGTCTACGTGCGAGGTGGCATTCTACCACCAGCGTGCCTTTCCGCCTCCGGGGGGAGGATTCACGGAAGGGTGGCGTGACCCGCAACACAGGTACTACCGGGAGGTGGAGCCCCACGATGTTTCGGCATTGTGCCACCTCTAATTGGAGTCGGACTCGTAGGGGCAGTGGGAGCGCTCGTATGCCGAAAGGCCAGGTAGACCAGGGACCTGCCAATTAATTTTGGAGGGCACAAAGCTTTGCAATGCTATTTTAACCACACGTGTCTTCCCCATTCTGCTTATGTGGTTATTTCATTCTTTTTTCTATTTAGTGTCCATTCATTTATACACTGTACGTTACATAATATATAAGTAAATACATAAAAAATAAAATTTTGTTTTTGTTTTTTTCATCTCTTGTCTCAAATGGGCACTTTTGGTCAATTAAGTTAAAATACAATAATTTTAATTTATGTCTGTGGAAACGAAAATACAAATAATACAACCCTGAATCGTGCTTGTTTTTGTCGTGGCATCGTCGCGCTTCTATCGTCCACAAGAAATACATGACCCTATCTCCGCAATGTTATTTTCTTATCGTAGAACGCTCTATAAACGTTTTGTAAATAAAAGTCAGAATTATTCTTTACAAAATATATTTAAATTACCTTCGAATTTATACATTTATTACAGTCGGAATATCAACGAACTCATTTTTTGAACACTCCTCTACTGCACTAATTAAAGTGTGGAAATTTGCAGATAATTTTTGATTTTGTAAGCACACAGTTCCACCACCTCTAACCATCTGATGTTGCTGTAAAAATAAAAACATTATAATATGAACTGCCAGTTTTTAATTCTGTGTAAAAAGTATAGTTTATTTTGTAGATACAACAAAAAAACAGGAGTAAAAAATATATTTGGGTTATTTTAGTAGGAATAAAATCCGTCCACCAGGTATTCCTAATTTTATCTTTATCCTTTCCTGTCGGTATATGGCAGGGATATTGAACATGATCAGTTTTTGTGATATAAAGTTAAGTGTAAAATTATTCTAAGATGCAGCACGAACTCAGATTAAAATAAACAAATGTATTTACAATGGACTTACAGGCTGTGATGTTAGCACCACGTTTTAATGTTTCCAGTCTATATTATAGGACCCAACTCTGTGTTCACAATTTTTGTTTATTTAATATAAAAAATCTACAGGGAATATTCTTTTTGTGGAATGAATAAGAAGGAGGTCTCAGTGCCGAAGAACTCGTCACAATTGTGGTTAAATTTCTATTGGACGAAGTAATACCAGATTAAAAGAGGAAAATACAAATGAAAGTAAAAAAGTTATTCTTTATCGTGACGGATGCACATATCAAAATAAAAATGCAACCATGAGCAATGCGGTTTTAAATTTAGCCATAACAAATACCGTAACAATAAAACAAAACTTCTTGGAAGTTGGTCATACTCAAATGGAAGCTGACAGTATGCACGCATCCATTGAAAAACAAGTTAAAGAATAAAATAATTAATGTTCCTAAGTATATTAAAGTATGCCAAACAACTAGAAAGAATCCTGGTCCTTATAGTGTCCATTATCTAACCCATGACTTTTTCAGAAACTTCGAGGATATCATGTTTGTTTAAGTCAATAAGACCTGGAAAGATGAAAGGTGACCCCAAGAAATATTTACATTATGCGTTGTTTATTTTTAGTGTGATAAATTTTCTGTTTAGGTTACAGATTTGCATGCCCTGCAATACAATCCCGATGGAAATTCCCGATGGAATTATATTACAATACTATAAATTAAGATTCGGGGGTGATTGGTACATATTCCCACAAAGGAAAGATAACAAAGTTACGACAAAACTTTGGAATAAACTGCCAGGCTTATATGCAACCTGACGTAAAAAGAAAAAGTTCGAGGATTTACAAGAATTTTTGTTTTGTTTTTTTTTTTCAGGCACCGTGGATACAATTATATATAAGGTACAATATACTATAGTTAAATATTATTTAGTAAGTTTTCTAGCTTATGGAACTGGATAGTTGTGATGACTTGGCTCTGGTTCGATAATATATCTGTGATGTCGTCCTTCATGTCCAGTTCTTGGCGTCGTTTATTGTAACGAGGGCAGTCCACAAGGATGTGTAGAACGCTTAGTGGAGATTGGCAATAGTGACACATTGGCTTAGGTGTAGAATTCATTAGGTGACCATGTGAAAATCTAGTGTGACCGATACACAATCTTCTAGCAACAACTATCTCATTTCTAGTTATATCAGGGATAACGAACTGCTCAATTGTCTGATCTATTTGGTGTAAAAATGTAGTGGATTGATTCCAGTTATTCTGCCAGTAATTTCGTACGAGTTTCTTTAAATTGTTTTTAGGCGATTGTCACTGGCGATTTTTATATTACGTAGTGTACAATTGGATACAACAGCTTCTTTGGCAAAGCGATCGGCGTTGTCGTTACTCGTAATCCCAATGTGGAAGGGAATCCATATAATAGTGATATGGATGTCGTGGATAATAAGATTTTGATAAGTGTCATGAATTTTTTCTAGAAGAGGGTGATTAGTTAATAGATTATTGATGCATTTATACAGGCAAGGGAGTCTGTACAGATGGCAATATGTTGATTGGGTGATGTGCAGAGTTTGAAGGCTTGGTAAATAGCCTACAGTTCCCCAGTGTGAACGCCAGATGTGGCAGGTATTTGATATGAACTTACGAGTGTTTCCGTAGTAGTAACCGCACAACCAACCCCCGTTTCGCTCTTTGATGCGTCAATGTAGAGGATTCGATCAAATTTCCTAAATTAAGAATCTCTAGTAAGGATTTCCTAATCAAATCCTGGTTGGTTTCTGCCTTACTAAACTTTGTAAGTGACACATTAAATTTCAGTAAAGTTTTGGTTCAAGGAGAATTTTGCGGGATCGGGAGAGGGTTACTTAGGAATAAATTTATATGTGGTATTAAAGTTAGAAGCAGGAGGGCGATAGTGTGTATGTATGGGGCAGGAGGGTAAGTACTAGTATATTTGAGTAATGTCAGCAGTGTGTGTACTGGATTAGAAAGGTTAGCTGAAGTAGAAGCAGCATACCAAAGGAGGAGATATTGGCGCCTTACAAGAATTTAAACAAGTAATCCCTTCCGATTATCACGAGTACTATATAATATTGTAGTTGAAAATTAAACAATATTTTTCTTCAATCTGTCAATTTTTGTTTTATGCATTAGATTTTAGAACAAAACTGTTTTGTTTCACTAGTTTCTAGTTTGTTATGATTGGGCAGGATTAAAATAAAAACTGTCTAACTCCCAAAAGCCAACTCCTGATTTTTTTATAACAGGCAAAATATGAAAAATATAGTAAAATTTTATTATAGTGCAAGTTTTTAATTGTAACATTATTATTATTATTTATATTTGTGAAATCTCTAAATGTCACTCTGCACCCTACAACCAGTTTGTATTGTCTCTTGTAGAATTTACATTATTGGAGCTTTTAACTACGGTTAGCTTTTTTACAATTTAAGCATGGACATGTCTTAGTGACAAAAGATATTTGTACCTACCGCACGATTTATATCTCCGACACAACTCCAGGAACTGCTAGAATTTGAACTTACAGCCCATTTGGAATGGTCGCTAGTCGTATTAAATGATACATTAGCGACAGACATATTGATCTTCTGAATATTATTTACCCTAAAAAAAGTAAAAGTAATTAACAAATCTTTGAGGTAATAATTTATGGAATTCCTTTCCACAAAACGTACTAATTTTATTAACATAATACGTAACATATTTATCTCAAAATTATAGATAAAGAGATAATTATGCAAACTTTAAGTAAAATTATTGATAAATTTATAGAATCTTACAGTACCATAATCATCAATATTGAGACTCAATAAGAATTTGAGAATTTAGACTTATACAACGGCTTTAACAAGTCGATAATGTTTGAGGAGGTGTCAATCAAAATCAATTATGTCCACCTTAAGAAGTTTTAGGGAAATCGCAAAAAACGTATTAGTAAATAACCTTACATGAAAAATCGGATAAATTCGCATATATCATTTTATTTATTGAAATTAACTGACTCTTAGTAAATATTTCAAATCTGAAGGTATAAATAAACCTCTAAATACATTTTAAAAATATTACATGTTCTTATTTGATTGGACTTCATGGACGTTGAAAGAAGGGGTTGATAAAAAAAACTCTTAGACTACTTAAAATATCTATTGTAAGTATTGTTACAAAAAATATCTTGAAAAATGGCTAACATTTACCAACGACACTTTCCACAAAATATAAATGTTTAAATGTGTAGTCCAATGTCAGGTTCTAGACAATCACAGGATTCGTCCACTTCGTCAGCATCAATTTCGTCGTCCTGGACTTCCACTATTATGGTCTTATACCAAGATAAAAAGTTATGTTTCTGCCAGTCATCACCATACATTTTCACAAGTAACGTCTCCACGTCCTTCTTCTTAGCTGCTTTCACTATATTGCTCAGTGGAAGTGACTCTACAGGAGTTGAGAACGACCTTGCAGAATGCCAGCCTTGTTTTTTTGAGGCTTGTCGTAGGTTTCAAAATCACTTTCAAACCTAAAATTCTGTGCCGATTTCACTTTGATAACAGTAAGTTCTTGTCCATTGCGGTTGACAGCTTTCCCTTTCCTCACAAAAATCCTCATCTTTTCAGATATCATTTCAATGTTTTTAAATCGTGTAGCCAAACTTTTAGCATCAATCAATCCCCAATCCTCTCCAAGTTTCCGTACTTCTCCAACAGAAGAGTTACTCAGGAAGCAACCTGGTAGGCTGCTTCCTGAGTAACTTTTCAACCCTTCCGAACACCCGATCAGCGGTGAGGAAGCTATGCCCGCGAACAGGGTATGTTAGAACAATCTCCTCTAAAGCATTTTGCACTGATCCTAAGTAATACACTAATGTGTGAACAACGGCATTGTTTTTGTTTTGACCGGCACACCCATCACAGAACAGATTCAGTTTTGTTATGTTTGAAAAATTAGCGGAGTTCAAGAAATTTATAAGTGCAGATGAAACTTCGGTCGCACCCCTTCCTGCAAGTTCTTCAGTCCATACGTAAAATATGGGGTTTTGTGCGTTTGATGCTACAATGCAAAAAGAGTAAAAACTTAATTGTCTTTTGTAGAACGCGTCTTGAATAGGAGTTTTGGGAAGTGCTTGAATTTGCTGGAGATCAAAACAGAAAGTAACCTCATTTTCTTTGTTTTCCTTTAAGAGCCCATAAAAAGCATTAGCTCTTAATCTGTGTATTCTTTTCTCTATCATAAATTGGTTGACCACTACCAAGTCTTTCACAGCTTTAGCCTTCTCAATTTTCAGCTGAAGATCTATTTTATTGCATGTACTGCAAACGTCAGAAGCTGGTGATGAACATCCGATGTTTAATTCATTGAAAACTCTCCTAAACATAGATTTCTTAACTTTAAGATTATCAAGTACACAATCATTGTATATTAGCCACAACTTCTTAATGTTTAAGTCTGCACTAAGATAAATCCTTTTCGATTTTTTTTCGAATATAGTGGCTTTCTTTTCCTCTTAAATTTCTCAAAAAAAGGCGGACTGATTCCTTGTTCGCAGCAGATTTGTGACTCTTCCTATCGCCACCCCTCTGATCCTTAACAGCCTTTCTCTCTTTCACCTTTTTAGAAATATTAGTCAATATTGGTCCCTTCACCATGGTAATATGCATAAAAAGTTTCCTACACACAGGTATAACTTTAACGGTTGATGAAAGTATAGAATATTGTACACTAAAACTTTTAGCCTTTGATTTTTCAGCTGTAGGCCTAGGCCTTCGCCGCTTTATGTTACGTTGATTTATCCAACTGGCAATGGTGTTATCTTGCGTGTTTTTGTCAGGTATTTTGTAGAGGATATTTCGAACAAAAATAGCATCTATAGACCTAACTAATGCACATTTCATACCTTTGTTCATGTGTTTACATGGAACAAACACACGACATCCCACTGGAGTACTGTATCGCTTAATCTTGGCTCTAGTTTTTTTATCCACAGTCTTTTTATTTTTACGAGATCCTTCATTGACATCGCCCACTCTCACTAAGTTTTCTTCATCCATGGAAAATTTCAATTTTATTTAATAAAAACTACTTTAATAATATTAAAATTAAACCACAGTGCAATACAAACTCAATACTCGCTATCGACATAACCTAAACTCAATACTCGCTATCGACATAACCTAGAGGGAAAACACAGACAATGTGTTGACATGGTCAAATCACGTGACCAAATCGGGGCACTCCTATTAGCTGAATGGACATGTGGTGGTATGATTGAAATCAACTGTGGACATGATTTCATTTGATTTGGGAACCTAATATTGTGTATTCATTTTAAACAGGACATGATTTTTTTTAACCGAAACCGAAAACACCATAGAATAGGATTCACTCTTTATATTATGAAACAGCTGCTAACTCATTTTTTGATTTTCATGGACATGATTGATTTTGATTGACACCTCCTCGTTTATCAAACGAAACTAAGCCATTTATTCAGAGTTTTGAGCGTGATCGACGCGGTTTGCAGTATAAAATATGTAGTGTATTTGATATTGTTTTACGTGTTCAGGAAAAATTAAAAGAAAAAAGAAAAAAAAATAAAACGAAGAACTTGAATACATCTAACAATTATTAAACAAAGACAAAAACAAAGATCTTTTTATAAATTGTTTGATAAAATTAAAAAAAAAAACAATGATGTTTGGGCTGTTAGGCCACTGTCTTTTGAGATTAGTTCTCGATGTTTCGCCAACAATAGGGGTTGGCATCTTCTGGAAATGTTGCTGTTTCGCTTGTTGTAAGCTGAAACCTGTAAGCTGAAGAGTTTCAGCTGAAGTTATTCTCAGAACAAATAAAACGGCGATCGGATATTACTACAGGTATTCACAGACCATTGCAGCTTCAGCTTCAGAAACATAAGGAGAAAAGTTCAATCAGTGGGGCAGATGTTGCTAAAACGGGCAATAAAAGAAAAAGGTGTTCTTCTTGCTATGCTACAAAGACGACGCGTTTGTCCAAATACTATTGTAAATGTTGTACCACATTTTTATGTCTTGAGCATTGCAATATTGTTTGCAGCATTTACAGAATATAACAAAATTAACATGTGTTAATTTTGTTATGTTCATAATATTGCATTTATTTTATTTTCTCTGGACAATAAATTAATTGAAATCTGCTTATTTTTTGATTAGGTATGTTCACAAAAAACGTTTCTTCCGATCTCGATCAGTTTTTTTCAATCTTATTTGAAACATTAAATTTAAACGAATGTATCTCTGAGATACACCGCGACCTATACAGTACACTTTATAACCGGTATCTCCAAAGGGTTAAACAGTCAATTCTCACTTTTGGCATATTAGGTTAGTTGGCATTCAACATTCCTACTGTCTGGATGTAGTAAAACGCGTTCGAGTAGTAGTAAAACAGATGACTTACGAAAATTCAGTTACGAGTTATACTACAACGACTATAGCCGAATCCAGGGATCAAAGATCCCATAACACGATGGACCGACGACCCCAAAAGAGTTGCGACCAATTGATTGGCAGTTTTAACAATGGGTAAATTAGAACTGATTAATTACGATGACTCTGATATAAATCTACAAAAATATCTTTCCTTCACAGACAGCAGATTAAGGAAATATATGTGAGATTACATAGCACTTTTAAATACCACTTTTAAAGATTAAGAAAGCATATATTTAAATTGTAAGGGGGGTATGTTGTTATTTTCCCCTTTAATTATCGTTGAGTTCGATCAATTATTTTTTACTTGGTGAAAGAATGGATTTTCAATGTTAACAGGTATTTATTTAGCACTGTTCTTACATGAACAAACTGAAGATTAACAGGACTTAGATAAAAACAAAAAAAACATGAAGCGTTATAACCTCTTAAGTCAAAAAAACTAATAATCCGTATGGTCCCTTTTCTTTTCTAGTAGGACGCATGGCACAAGATAACCAATAATACAGGATGCAGAGCAACCTACAGGGTAGGCAACATACACAACACATTGCAACACAGGTTGCACACACTTAGGAGATTTGTTACAACCTCTCCCTTTGCCTCACGCAGAGCCCCTCAAGTACAAGCAAGAACAGGTGTGAGCAGAAGGCAACACTGGCAGGTGGGCCTCTGGATGGGATGTCTCCGGAGGCGATGACGGAAGAGTTCACTAGAAGAGTCATCATTCGGGCCAGGTGTTATTTTGGGAAGGAGTGCTTAGGCATGTATGAGGCAAAGCAACGTCATTCTCTACTTCGCATACATGGTTTTCATCAGGCACGGCTAATGCTGTTTTGAGGGACGTCCTCTTTTGCGAATGAGAACCAACGGGTTAGGGGACGGACCATCATCGTATCGGTGATACCCATGATACATACAAGCGATGGGATATACATGTATTATATAGTATCAAGTGTGATACCACGATAGGCCACAAGCGCTGATACATGGTATTTACCGAGAGATTCGGTTAGGTTCTGTGGCGACGATATCTCATAGCTGGTTGGGCTAAACACCTTGGTCATTATTTATGGACCATCGCGACGCGAAGCGAACTTTGCCGTGAAAGAGTCCTTTGCTTTACTAAGAGCATTGGCTAAACTAGTTTTCCCATCAGACAAAGTCATAAGCATAGATTTGGTACTATCTGAGGAATTTTATCTTTGAATAAAATTTCTCGAAGTGTACCACCGGCGATGCTACGTTCGGCACCTGAATCAAAAAAATAACAACCTTGATGATCTTCGATAGTAATTGGAGTCAACGGGCTTGAATGTGACTGAATCTGAGACGAAGAATCTGGCGATTGCAGAGAAGCGCAAATAAATTCAGCCGAATTCCGAACATAACCTATATATTCAGCCGAACATAACCTATGTCAGTACGTTTACTACACTTGGAACAATTTGATTTATTAAAACCTGAGCTTTTACAACCATAGCAGAAAATATGGGAATTTTCGTTGCTATTGGCAAAGGTGGGATTTGAAAAAGGTTGCTTTGTACTGTTGTTACTTAAAGAAGTAGAAGAAGATTCTTGTTTACTGCGGGATGCTAGTTTACGACAGTCGTCCCTTTGGTGTCCAAAATTATTACAATAAAACACTGTTTTGATTTTCGGGTACTACTTGAATTACTTTCAGTTTTATGTACGGAACTACTCGGAACGTTTTTAACAATATGGAGCGCTTGTTCTACAACGCGAGCTGCTTCAACAAGTTCTCTAAAATTAGATATAGATTCTCTCCTTACCTTATCTCTAATAGATGCATTTAATAATCCAAATACCATATCAAGTTTAGCATGTTTCGAAATGGTGGATGCGCCTTGGAGACGTGACAACAACGAGCACGCGTTGCTGACAAAAACGTCAGTTTTTTCATTGTGACTTTGTTCGACCGTAAAAAGTTTACGACAAACTAAATACGACGACATTGGAAAACCGTATGCATGCTTGAGACTTTTTATAGCCTCATCAAACGTTTGAATGGATGATTTAACATCTTGATACCACGTTGCAGCTGAATCAACTAAAAGCATAGACAATCCTTTTAACGCGTGATGATCAGAAATATTAAGACAGTCTTTATACACCGTAATGGCATCAATAAAGGCCTCGACATCTTTATTTCATCCACCTATTTCTGTCTTGAGCTTCTTGCATCCAGTTTGTGGGGATGCACTTGATATCATTCGTCCATCTAGTCGGTGGTCGTCCTCTGCTTCGATATGCATCTTGCTTCACCATTCGCCATGGTCGCCATTCCAGAATCTTTTTGGTCCATCTGTCATCCGTTAATCTGACAACATGTCCGGCCCAAGCCCATTAAGGTTTTCCCGAAAACCGATGTTTACATGCTGAGAACTTGGAATTGGAAGTACATACAGCTTGATTGTTGATACCTTGTAGACTTGTAATTAAGCTCTGGAGCATGTATTGCGTCATTACTACTTGTTGAACTGTTTCACCTTTCTGAGCCATGTTTGTAACTTTATTTCCTGATCGAAGAAACATAAACAGTTTATTGAAAGAGTAAATCGCGTAGAGAACTGAGACAACAGTATCTAATACCGATTTAAAGTCTTTACTAATACTGCAGAACTGAAACCAAACCAGTGTCCACTACTGAAGTCTTTTTACTGCGGTTGAGGAATTGAAAACCAATCAGTGTCCACAACAGATTTTGTTCACTTCAGAACGAAACACACAATTAAGTAACACTGAACTTAACTTTCACAAAAGAAAAATAACGCCACTAGGAGGGCGCCAATTTGGGGTATGTTCTTATTTTTCCCTTTAATTATCGATGAGTTTGTTCAATTATTTTTTACTTAGAAAAAGAATGGATTTTCAATGTTAATAGGTATTTATTTAGCACTGTTCTTACATGAACAAACCGAAGATTAACAAGACTTAGATAAAAACAAAAAAAAACATGAAGCGTTATAACCTCTTAAGTCAAGAAAACTAATATAATCCGTATAGCACTTTTTCTAGTAGGACGCATGGCACAACATCACCAACAATACAGGACGCAGAGCGACCTACAGGGTAGGCAACATACACAACACATTGCAACACAGGTTGCATACACTTAGGAGATTTGTTACAAAATAGTCAAGAATTGAGTAACTGTTTTTACTTACTTATATTCACGACTACAATTGGAATGTAATCTACCAGCACCATTTGGCCATGTTTCAACTACTAAATCGTTTTCTAAGTATGGAGCTACCAGATCTTCGTACAGTTCCTGGTTGAATTTTTTGTGTTTGGCAAATGAAGTAAAGGCTACTTTTTTCTTTGAATAGAGTTGGGCAATATGATAAAATGGAGCAGTTTTGACAGTGATGTTTTGAGCGGCACGTGCTAGTTCTGGTACACGAGTTTCAATATCTGAGAGTATTTGTTGCAGGTAGATGTCAGGTTGGTTGTACTGTAGTTGAAGACCTAAAAATTTAAAAATAAATTAATTTATATGTATTATCTCTCTAACAGTATGTACTTTATTTAAATTGCAATTCCATCAATGCTTAGCTGTTTTGATAAGCATTGCGTAGCTAAGTTCATGGTTTAGGTTAGCAGATCTTTCTTTTTTGTTATCGCGTTAGTTGTATGCCTTGGTTTTTTCAAATAGAAATACAAAACTAGTATACTGTATCATGCTAAATTATTTAACAAGTTATATGTTTATTGCTGAATATGTACACTTTTGTATATAATAATTTTCTTACAAAATAATTTAAATTTAAGACAGACTTATATAAAACATATATTTCAAGAAAACAAAAGTTTAAAAGTTTTGAGGCGAAATACGAATAACGAAGGCAACAAAAAAGATGTACAAAATAAAAAAACAAAGATAGAAACATTACTACTGATAGAAGCAAAATCCTTAAGGTTGTCGAATCCTTTTATCGAGAAATATATGAGAGCACTGACGAAAGACAAGATCAGTCCCTACCCAAAATCACAAAAAAAGGATCAGAATTAATGCCAGTAATAACTCCACACGAAATCAAAACGGCACTTTTGGAAATGAAAACTAACAAATCCCCTCGCGATGACAAAGTAGTGATCGAAGCGATCAAACTAGGTGGAAATAAAATTATCCAGGCTTTGGCCAAGTTTTTCACCGAATGCATCTACCAAGAAAAAAACTACTTCTCAATGGAATTAAGTAGTCATTACTTAATTACACAAGCAAGGAGACATAACAGAACATAATCCAAATATTGCTGTTGATGGAAGGGATATTGTGCAGACTACATCGTATAAGTACCTATACTTTGTCTCAAAGTGACTAGTCTGTACAGGGTAAGATATGCAATGCTAACCTTATGGGAATTTCGCCAAGACGTTGCTAGTTTTATGCAATGAGTGATGACGTTCTCTATTGTCTATCTTTCAAAATAAACGGAATAATCCAGGAGTTCTCAACAAGTCCTCACGTACAATTTTATGTAATTCACAAATTATCGTTTGCTAATAATTTTACATAATATTATACATTATTTGTTTCTAATAGTAACTTTTATTTTTTATTAGTAGCCAGTAGTATAATAAAATGTGCATTAAATAAACATTTGTTTTAAAGTTTTTCAAATATTTTCTTCTATCTTATTTAGTAATTAAAAAGCAATTAGAGTAATTCTTGTATAGAATATGTTTAAAAGCTTGATACATGCAGGGCCTTAATTTGTTCTTCGAAGCGCGTAAACATAGTTACGATTATTTGAAACATCTTGGATGTACTGTTACTGTTTTGTTATTCTTATTATTTGTTGGTGGCTGTTGTTGTGATTTGCTATTGGTAACTATTGTTATTTTCTGTTGTTGGCTATTTTTATATTTGACTCCGAATTTTTACCGCAAAATGGAAAAAATTGTTCAATGGAAACGTGGAAAAGCTCTGAAACTTTCAGAGAAGCAGATAATGAATATTATTAATTATCATCTTAATCGGGATAACAATGATTCTGTATAAGTGTAATTAGGAACGTGTCAGAAATAAGTGAAAAGACTTCGCATAAGACAGGAATATTCATCACCTGCTGGATTACAATCTCCAAGGAGCAGGCCCAAGAAGCGAAAAGTTGGTAATTCTCGTGATAACAAGTACAATAAAAATGTCAGGGGCCAAATTCGTAGAATATTTCATCAATTTATTTGTGACAACATACCACCAACAATAAACACCATATTAGCAGTTGTAAATGTCAAAGAAACTTTACACAACTTTTCACGGGCCACGCTACATCGCTTGCTGAGTGATATGGATTTTGTGTTTATCAAACTTAGATAGATAACAGGTTGATGAAGGATTTTATGGTGGATAAACTAACTATGTAATAACTATTCTGCTTGTATAATATTCCTCTATCTGTTTTAATTGAAAGCGTAGCATTAAATACTGTGTCTAATCTTATATGTTTAGTTCTTCGAATTCCTACCCTGTATGCTCTAACTTACCTACTGCATTTATGTTTGTTATATTCATTGTAATACAAAGAAACGTTTGGCCATATTTGACGCCTGTGCTGGGATACGAGTAGCTATTACCCACTTCTGGAAATTTAGGAACGGAATGTATTAACCAGTAACCTCCTGCTGAATTTGAAATAACTACTCCCTTCGTATGACCTTTCGTTGAAGAGACTGAATGATTTGGGGGTTCGTCGTTGTACAAAATATAACTTAATTTGGTCTAAAATAAATAAAGGTATTTAAATATGCATAAAAAGTAGTATTGATATTTAATAAAAATGATAGAATCGAACAGAAGATTTTAAATATGTATATATATATATATATATATATATATATATATATATATATATATATATATATATATATATATATATATATATATATATATTATGCAACGGTCCTTCTCCGTTGTCCGACACCCCTAACTTCCATCCTCTTCTATCGTGACAATCTTCCGTTGATAGATTCCGTTCGCTCATTGACTTTTTTATGTTTTGCTGCACTCTAGTTTGGGTCTTCCTCGCTTTCTATTCCCTATTGGGGTCCAGTTTAGTATTTTTTTGGGCCATCTAGTATTTTGCGTTCGCTGTACGTGTCCGTACCAGGTAAGTTGTTTCTTTTCGATATCCTGAATTATCGTACCTTCTATTCCCATACGTTGTTTTATATGGTCATTCCTCATTCTTTCTCTTCGTAAGACTCGCATAGATCTTCTTATCGCGTCTATTTCGACTGCCTCTACCTTCTTTTTTTGTCTGTCTGGAATTCTTCATGTTTTCGCTTCATACAATAGGCTGCTCTTAACCATTGTCTCGTATATATTAAATTTTCTCCTTTTTGTTATCTACTTGCTCCACAAGATGCCATTCAGACATCCTATTATCTTTTTAGCTGTAGCTATTCGTTTTTCTATCTCTTTCACATCTATTCCGGTATTGCCGAATGTGATACCTAAATATTCATATTCTTGATATTGCAGAAGTTCTTGACCGTTGTCCAACTCCAAATTTTCGCTCTGAGAGCCTACACATAGATATTTCGTTTTATTTACGTTAACTGTCAAGCCCCATTCCTCATACTCTTCTATCAGCTTTCTAATCATATATTGCATGTCGTCTTTGTCATTGGCCACTATGACCTGATCATCTGCAAACTGAAGAGTAAACAGGTATCTGTCATCTATCTCTATACCCATTCCGTGTATTTTCCTTTTCCAGTTTTTAAGTGCCGCTGCTACAATATATTTTAAATACTGTAGGAGAGATAGGATATCCCTGACGTAGTCCCTTATTCACTATGAAGGCATCTGTGAGTTTTTTACCTATCCTAATTCTTGATTGTAAATTTTCATACAGTTCTTTAAGTGCAGCTATATAGTTGTAATTGATGTTCGTTTGTTCTAATACCTTCCACAGTCTTGATACTGGGACTGTATCATATGCTTTTTGTAGGTCCACAAATGTAAGATGGGTTTCCAGATGTCTAGCAGATCTCTTCTGTATGACTTGTTTTAGACAAAATACGTTGTCGGTACACGATCTACCTGCTCTAAAGCCGCTTTGATCTTCTTCTTCTTTCTCTTTATAGTGTTCTTCAATAAATATGTTATGTTATAAAAACATTTTATACTATAATAAATATGTAGGAATAATATACAGTTTAAATATAACAAAATCTGGACATATCAAAATTAGACGCGATTAAAATAAGTAAAGTATCAGAAATACGTATATTATTATCTCTTGTAATAGTGGTATAAGATGAAAATAGAATTACTGGGAATTAGCGAAATGAGATGGCCAGAGTCAGGATCATTTAAAAAGAACGGAAGTCTATTATATTATTCCGGTAACAGCACAGAAGACCCGCATCACAAAAATTGTGTAGCTATATTAGTAACATCAGAACTGAGCAAATATGTGACCAATTTCGTACCAGTCTCGGATATAATAATATTACTTCAAATAAATACTCAACCATTTAAAATTAACATACTTCAAATCTATGCCCCGACTGCAGACAGAAAATATGACGATGAAGTCGAGAAGTTGTAGGATCAGATCCAAGGCATCTTACAGAAACTTAATAAACACGAAATTTTATATGTTATAGGCGACTTAAATGCAAAAATTGAGGAAGGTCGACGAGGTCAGACTGTAGGTCCTTATGGTTTAGAACAACCTAACGATCGAGGACAAAGATTGTATGAATTCTGTAATGAAAACGATTTGATCATTGCAAACACCTGGTATAAACTATCTAAGCGACGACTATACACTTGGAAAGCACTATTTGATGATGACAATAACCCTGAGTCTTCAAGAAATCAAATAGACTATATACTTGTAAATGAGCGTTTCCGAAATGCCGTCAAAAAAGTCACTACATATTCTGAGGCAGATATTGGATCTGATCATTAACCACTAGTAGCAGATATTAAACTAATGTTAAAACGAATTCAGCGACAAAAACCAAAAACCAATGTACCTAACTTTGACGATATGAACATAAAACATAACATTAAAAAAGAATTTCAGAATATAATAAAAAACATCGGATAACACCTAGAAGATCCAGAAGAACTATGGAGTGAATTTAAAAACCAAGTTAACGAAATCTCCACAAACAATGATTATAGAAAAAACTTAATCAAGAAAAATAACTGGATGACAGACGACATCTTGAAATTAATGGAACGAAGTCGACTGATAAAATCTAATGTAACAGAATATAGACACCTGCAGAGAAGAATAAAAAAGGAGATCAAATTAGCCAATGAAAAATGGATGAGAAAAAGGTGCGACGAAATAGAGGATGTAATATCTAAACACGACTTATTTAATATGCACAAAAAATTGAAAGAAATGAATAATATATTTAAAAAACTAGTTCCCTCTGTACTTGTTAACACGAATAACAAAATTATTGTAAATGGGCAAGAAATAAGAAAAGAATGGCAGCTGTATATATCAGAGTTGATTGAAGATGACAGGAATAATATTGTCGAATTCTACCAAAACTGTACTGACGGCCCAGAAATTATGAAATGCGAAGTAGAACATGCTATAAAAAATGCTAAAATTAGAAAAGCTTGTGGTCCAGATGATACACCAACTGAGTTGCTGAAACTAATAGAGAATGATAACATAAAAGTAATAGTAAGACTTTTTAATTCAATATATAACACCGGAGTGATTCCCGCAGATTGGCTCAAATCCATCTTTATCGCAATACCTAAAAAACACAATGCGAGAAAATGCTCAGAATATCGATTAATTAGCCTAATGAACCACACTCTTAAAATTTTCCTCAGAATACTTCACAACAGAATTAGACGCAAATGTGAAGAAGATCTTGAAGATACCCAATTTGGTTTTATAAATGCTATGGGAACGAGGGAGGCACTTTTTGCGCTAAACATCCTATTACAAAAATGCCGTGACCAAAGAAAAGATGTATTTGCATGTTTAGTGGACTTCGAAAAGGCATTCGATAAAGTACAGCATGTAAAATTTATGCAAATACCGAAAAATATCGGAATAGATGACAAGGATATTCGTGTCATTAAAAATTTGTACTAGAATCAAACTGCTATCGTAAAAATTGGAGATAAATACACCGATGAAATCCCCATACAACGAGGAGTCAGACAAGGTTGCATTTTGTCGCCAACATTGTTCAAAGTTTACTCGGACCAGCTATTTAAAAAGGCACTTGAAAGACTACCATATGGAATAAAAATCAACGGGGAACTACTTAATGTGATTAGATATGCAGACGATACAGTAATTCTATCGTATAATATTGAAGGTCTTCAAATTCTGCTTGATCGTATTCACGAGGTAGGAGAGGAAATGGGCATTAAAATAAACTCAAACAAAACCAAATTTTTAGTGTTTAGTCGTGACCCACATCCCGATGGAAAGCTTCAATTGAACGGAGTCCAAGTTGAGAAAGTCCACAAAATGACATATTTGTAAACTGTGATAACGGACCAACTAGATCCAGACATAGAAATAAAACGTAGAATAGCAATGACTAAAACTACTTTTAATGAAAATGCAGTAATTTCTTTGCAATAACCATCTCAGTTAGTCCGGCCCCGATATCTAGCGTATCATACAGCTTAATATCGGTTCTGACAAATTTGTTAATTACTAGTAGTTAAAATTAAAAATATAATTTAATTTTAATACTGTTTACAACTTAAAGTTAAATGTGACAGTGCACTGAAAATCGTAGAATTCTGTGAGTACAAAACTGCATTATTAATAACCTTAAAATCAGAAGTTTAAAAGGCAAAATATTTTATCGATTTCAATTCAACTTATCGATTATCGACAACAACTTTTTGCTAGTTCTTGCTTTTAACAAGTAATACTAGGCTGCTGCCCAATTTTATCAAGCGGCCAGGTCCGGCTTCAGATCCTCTGTGCCAATGTACGAAAATTCTCAGCGGGAAGATAGATGAACCGGAATCAGCTACTACTTCACGAAATATACCCACTACGTCACATATATCTTACTCCAATGCATTAAACAGTTTCAAATATCCTTCAAAAGACCAAGGTATTATACTTTCAACCATACAAGGAATAAAAGTTTTCGAATATGTAAAAGCTGTTGGATCAATAGTACAGCCCAAAAATGTTGTTTGGGCATCCAAAATAGCAAACAACCGCATCTGCATCTACCTCTCCTCTAAATCTGCAGTTGATCAATTTCTTAGCTCCTACAAATATATAAATATTGATGGTAACCAGATTGAAGTAAGAAGACTTATAACCCCCGCCCAGAGACTCATCATATCTAATGTATGCCCTACTATACCTAATAGCATAATTGAAGAGCACTTAAAAACGATGGGTATAAAATCCGCCTCCAACATGACGTTTCTACGAGTAGGCATACAAGACCCAGAATACAGCCACGTGCTCAGCTTTAGGAGGCAAATGTTCATAACTCCTTTAGAAAATGCATCAATTCCTGACTCATTTTTAATCTCATTCGACAATACATCATATCGACTATACATTTCCATAGATGGTTTAAACTGCTCCAAATGCAAGATTGTCGGACATCACGATTCTGACTGTCCTTCCTTATCATCATCTAGTAAATCAATTAATCAAATGGAAACCGACCACCACGTAAATATACATAACTCTACCCATGAAGAATATAATCAGCTACAAGATCAACCACGAAACCAATACC